GTTTATTTTGATTTTTTAATTTATTCAAAAAAAATTTTTAGTCTCAGAGCCCCATTTTCCTAGCAAACCTCCCATATATTCTTATTATTTACTAAAAACCTATATCTTTATGTAATTTTTTAATAAATATTATAAATAAATGAACTACATACATAAAATTATTCTTTAAGCGGGTGATAATCAAAAAAAAATATATTTTTTAAAGACAGATTTTTGCCTCTTGACAAAATTATAAGTCTTTCGGCAAAATCGGGCTGATGTCATACATTAGATTTTGGTATTACAAATTAAAAAAGTCCAGATTTAACGTTAAACCAAATTGAGTTCATTTGAGTCATCAAATTCGAAACCAAAAACATTTGCCTAAATCCAAACAGAGTTGCGAAAAATTACATTAATTTAGAACCAAAATATATCAAAAAGTATTGATAATAATAATAATAGCAATATACAATTTTTAGATTAAATAATAAAAATTTCTCAGGACCTGATTTTCTAGCAACCTTTCCATATTATATTTTCCGAAATTAAATAATTTTCGTTATAGCCTTGCTTAATTAAGGTATTAAAAATTTAAAATACTTGATTTATATCAAGTTCAAAACTATTATGACTACTCCTATTCCTATTGTTGTTATGATATTATATTCTCAAAGTCTATAATGTGTATCCTTCGTAAATCTAATCTTTTTGACATATTATAGTCTAATAAAAGCTACTGAACCTTTTCATATTTCATAACTTACATAGTTATTACACATGGTTTTTTTTTGCTTAGGTAATAATATTTAAATTATGATCACTAATAATTGAGATTTTTTGAACAGATTATCAAAAAAGCCTTTTTTGAATGGGCGTCTACGGAAAAATGATTCGAATCAACGCAGATCTTAGTGTGACGAACTTTCCACAAATTTTTTTTTCTTTTTTTTTTAATGAGCAATTTTTAATAATTCTTTGGTTTTCATAGTTTTTTTTTTTTTTAAAACAACAATTTTTAATAATCATTGGTTTCAAATTTTTAATATTTTATCTAATGATTATGATTTCTGACAAATTATTAATTTAAAAAAATTAATATAATTTTTTTTGGTCTGCGCCATGCATTAAGACCTATGAAAATATAATGATAAAAAAAAACCCGAATTATCATAACACGTGTTTTAAAAAAAAAATTAAATTAAAAATTTAGAATTAAAAATTTACAGAATTTAAAATTATTTAATCAAATATGGTAATATGATTATACACAGAAGCCTTAAATTAGATAATTTGTAATTTTTTTATTACAAAAAATTTTTAATCTTTTTTGGCGCTCTAATATGACAAAAATAAAAAGATTTATATTGTTTCTTTTTTTTTTTAATCTTTTGATAATTATAAAATGCGAACGAATCATATTCAAGACATGTAAACGTGTTCCTAACTATTAAAAGAGGGTGAATTTGAAAAGAATTTCCAGTGCGAAAAATTTTTTTAATTTTTTGTTTATGATTATTGGTTTATAAAAATAAAAAAAGGCAAAAAAAATAAATATTCTATAAAATTATTAAAAAATAATTTTCGCACAAAAATAATTCTTTTTAAAAATAAAAAGAAAGTTATTTTCTAATGGAACCGCATAGTTATGTTTGGCTGTTAGTCGTCGGAGCGCTTGTTGCGTTCGCTGATGGATTTGGTATCGGTGCTAATGATGTAGCAAACAGTTTCTCAACATCGGTTGGTTCCCGATCTCTTTCATTGAGACAAGCTTGCGGTATCGCCATATTTACCGAATTTTTCGGGGCGTTCTTACTGGGTTCAAACACGGCCGAAACCATTAAAGGAGGAATTATCAAAGTGACATTATTTGCAGATAGACCAGAATTGCTCATGGTAAGTTCAGGTTACATTCAATATTTATTAATTTGATTATTTTTGAAGTTGATAATTTATATATATTTTTTTCTTCATAGTTAGCAATGGTTTGCGCATTAGTTGGCTCAGCTAGTTGGGTCATATTCGCTTCAAGCCGCGGATGGCCAGTTTCAACTACACATTCAATTGTTGGTGCCATAATAGGTGTTGGTATCTCTGCTTTCGGTTGGGGAGGTAAATTTCAAGATTTAAATTTAGGTTTTGAAAAGAAAAAAAATAAGACCTCACAAAAAATTTATTCTTCTTCCAAATCTAATTTTCTCTTTAGCCATTGACTGGTCTTATGGTGGTGTTGCGAAAATTATTACCTCATGGTTTGTTTCACCCGTTGTATCTGGGATTATAGCATCGGGAATATTCTTAGGAACAAAATATTTAGTTCTCGTTTATCAAGACAATTCCTTCCAACGAGGTTTAGTCGCTGTCCCAATTTACTTTGCGATAACCATCTGTATCAACGTACTTTACCTTGTCTTTAAAGGTGCACCAGGTCTCCATTTAGACAAACTCCCACCTTATGCCATCGTACTTATTGTTCTTGGTGCAACAATTATTGCCTCTTCCTTTAGTTACTTCTTCTATGCACAATTTTTGAAAAGATTGATTATTGGAAAAGAAACCGGACTCAGATGGTATCATGTTTTCATCATTCCATGCATCAGACAACCTCGTTATGATAATACTGCCGATAATGCTGTTGAAAAAGGAACAAACAATATCGAAAAACAAGAAGGAACTGAGGAGAATAAAATTGTTCAAGATGTTTCATCTGATGACGATTCGAATAACAACAAAAATATCTTTCAAGCGGGCATTTCAATTATTGGAAAAAAATTGTTACATGGCGTTAATAAAGAAGTTGCAGATCATGACGCACATAATAATCAAGAAATGCATGATGCCGCAATAAAATATGATCCAGATACAGAAAGATTATATTCTTTCCTTCAAGTTCTTACTGCCTCATTCGCCTCGTTTGCTCATGGTTCAAATGATGTTGCGAATGCGGTTGGTCCCTTATCTGTCATTTATCTTATTTATGAAAGTGGTGCTGTTGATGTATCAGGGAAAACACCGGTGCCTATTTGGGTTTTAGCCTTGGGTGGTTTTGCCATTGATATGGGTCTTATCTTTTATGGATACCATGTAATGAGATCTCTCGGGAATAAAATTACTTATCATTCACCTTCTCGTGGTTTCGCCATGGAATTGGGCACTTCATTGACTGTTTTGACGGCCTCAAAGATTGGTCTCCCAGTGTCAACAACACATTGCATCACTGGAGCGACTGCGGCTGTAGGATTATGTAATGGAAATGCAAAATCCCTAAACTGGAAATTACTTGGCTGGTGCTTCTTCAGTTGGTAAGAACTTGTTTTCAAATAAAGTTTTTCAAATTTTAAAATATTTTGGAATGGGATTGAAAAAAATATTTATAATTTTTTTTTTTTTTCAAAATTAGGGTTCTAACTCTTCCAGTCGCCGCAACAATTTCTGGTGGAATATTTGCTTTCGCTTCAAATGCACCTTCGTTGCATCCTGAAATAGCACCTGCAGCAATTGCTTAAAACAATTTTTTTTTTTAAAAAAAAAAAAAAAAATCTTTAAAATTAAACTACGATTGAAAAAAAAAATGTACTTTTAAAATTATACATTTAAATAATACTTTACACAAAAAATATATATATATATTATTTCTTTAAAAAAAAAAATAAGCTAAATAAACTTTTAATGATAATCTATTAAAGATAAAAATAAATCCTTTCCCCTTTGTAGCTATTTCTTCTAATTTTGTATTTTTTAATTTATTACCTGAAAATGTAAAATAATAAAAATGATTTTTAAAAATTTACAAGCATAAACTGTATGCGTTTAATATTTGTCCAAAGATCTAAAAAGATGCCGATTTTGGCATATAAAACAATACACTAGTTTTGTAAATTTGTTAACTACAGTCAAAGCTCTTTATAGTGAATTCTTTGTTCTGACCATTTTCGTTCACTATAATGAGATTTAATAAGAATTTATAAAAATTAAATTGAAGAATTAAAAAATTCGCTATAAAGTGATTTTACTATAACGGGGTCAGCTATATGACGTAATGCCATAACTAAGAATGTAACATTTATATTAAATGACGTGCTTTATGTTTGAATATATTGTATAATAATCTTAAATTTAACGATTATTAGCATTTTCCAAAAAAAAAAATTTTCAAATTGGAAATAGTAATATCGATATATAAAATTTTCGTAATTATACCAATCTCAAAACAACAGTATCGTTACGGAATCCGACATAAATATGACATATGCATTAGTTATAAGTTGATATGTTTGTCACCTTTGTTATTTACTATAACGAGCTTGACTTTATCTCCACTTTTCAACCTTCCCTCAACAAAATACATATAAACTTAAATAAAATACATCTTCACGAACAGGATCTCTCTTTAAATGTCCTTTTTTTTTTTTTTTTTTGAAAGATTGCCTTTTCGAAAGCAAAAGTTTCGACCTTGAAATACTTTTGTAATTTTATTGGTTATTAAAGATCTGATATTTAAAGATGATCGATTCTACTAAGAATTCTGGCCATAATTTAAAATTTTAATTTCGCCCAATTACTGGGCTAAATACTTTTTCTCCGAATTTAGACAATCTCATGATTTGAGTTTTCTAAAGTCATGTTATCCGATTAGTTCCAAGTATTAAAAATTGGTTACTTTTTAAGTTAATTTTTAATTTGATTTTTTTAATTTAAAGTTTTTTTTTTTTATCAAGATTTTGGCTGAATCTACAATGTATTTGACATTTGTAATCGTGATTAAATCTAAAAACTTGATTTGAAACTATTTTCCGGAATGTATACAAGATTAACCAAAAATAATGAATGTAAATGATAAATGATTATGCACGTCGATGTGCACGTGCTCTAATGTTTGTGCTATAAAAGTTGACTTTAGGGAACTCTAAGAATTTTCCAAGAAAAAAAATGATGGAAATTATTAATATTAATGAAGTTTCCGTTATCGCGACAATTTTTGGTGGATTTATAGTTATTTTCGGTCTTGTTTCGTATTACATCAAAGAACGGTTATACTTGTCAGAATCTCGTAATTATTTCATAACTTCTTCGTGCTTTACCTTTCGAAACAAAAAGGTTCGAAATATTTTACTAATTCCCACTGATAAATATTTTTATAGTTTTATGTTTAATTGTCGGAATCATTCTTGGCCCATATGTGTTAAATGTGATTGATCCAAATAAGTGGGGTAATGTTGACATTATTACACGTGAATTTACTCGTGTTATAATCTCCATTCAGGTAAATTTTTTTGATTCCCCATAATTTTCTTTAGGACTATTTTAATTAATTATCAAGTATTATCAGGTAATGGCTGCAGGTGTGGCATTGCCTAAGTAAGTTTGAATCACTGATTTTTTTTTTTTAACGGATCGGTAATTAATTTTTTGGTAATGATTTATTTTACGTTTGTTCGTTCGTTCGTAAAGAGCGTATCTTTGGAATGAACTTAAATCTCTAACGATATTAATTGTTCCGGTTATGTCCTGGATGTGGGTTGTCAGCGCTCTTGCCATATGGTTTTTCATACCTAATGTCTCATTTGTGAGTATTAATTTTCGCTGTTTAACTACGTTGTCAGGATTATTATGTAATCTTTCCTTTATTAAAAATATAGTTAGAAGCACTTATGATTTCTTCATGTGTTGCTCCAACCGACCCGGTAAGCAAAATTAGAGTTTGTTCTTAAATTCCTCATTTTAAATTTTTTATTAAAAAAAAAATAAATAAATTGGACAGCCCAATTAATAGAAAATTTTCTTATAATCAACTTTATTCTTTCAGGTGCTGGCGAATAGTGTAGTGAAGGGACGTTATGCGGAAAAACACGTTCCAAGTCACGTAAGGAATATTGTTTCAGCCGAGAGGTAAGCTTTTTTTTTTTATCTAGAGTTAGGAATCGAAATATAATTTTAATTAACAATACGGGTTATTTTTATTTATTTATTGGACTCAATCTTAGTGGTGCAAATGACGGTAAATATTATCTATATACATATTTATTTATTTATTTATTTTAATCGAACATAAATGAATTCATTTATTTGTAGGTCTCGGATACCCTTTTCTTTTTTTCTCGATTTATCTAATGCATATGCCTCCAGGCCAAGCGATAGGAAAATGGTTTTATTATATATTAGGATATCAGATAATTCTCTCTATTATAATTGGATTTGTAATTGGATATGTTGCACGCAAATTACTTTATTATGCCGAGGCTAGGTATTTATTTTATATTATCGTAGAAAAATGCGATTTTTTTTTTTTATATTTCAGTCTTTTTAAAATTTGTTCTTTTAGAAAATTGATTGATAAAGAAATCTTTATGACATATGCTATTGTATTGGCTGTAAGTAATTTTGATCGAACTTGATATAATACGTCTTTGTAAAAATTAATTGAATCTCTTTGAAATATCTTTATATAGTTATTTATTATGGGCGCCGTTTCATTGATCGGAAGTGATGACATATTGGCTTGTTTTATTGCTGGAAATTCCTTTACTTGGGAGTTTGTATAAATATTTATTACAAATTTAATCGCTTAGTCTTTCACACATTGATTTCTTGGTTTAACTGAAAATTCATTTTATAATGTAGTGACTGGTTTCGTAAAGAAACTGCTGAATCACACTTTCAAGATGTCATCGATTTGTTACTTAACTTAGCCATTTTCGTTTACCTTGGCACGATAATACCATGGTCATCGTTCAATAATGAAGTTTTAGGATTGTCCTACTGGCGCCTGATTGTAATTTCCGTCATTATACTCTTATTTCGTCGCCTTCCTATCGTAATGGCTTGTTTGAAAGTAATTCCCGCTTTAAAGACACATCGCGAAGGTATTGTATTTTTTTTAAAAATATTTTTTCTTTTCGTTTAAACAGATTAAAAAATAACCAAAGTATCATATCTCTTTCGCGAAAAAAAGGTATATTTGCTGGTTGGTTTGGTCCTATCGGAGTTGGTACGTATAGTAATGAGCAGTGTTATTCAGACCGGTTCAATAAATGATATTTCATTTTTATTACATAGGTGCCGTCTTTTATGCTCAAGTTGCTAAAGAACAATTTGCCGAAACTGATCCAGCGCGTGAACTTATCCTTCCAGGTAACTTCGAAGTTTTAAAAATACAAATACATTCTAATAACGATTTAATCCATTATTTAATAATGGAATACATTATTCTCTTCTTTTAGTTGTTTTCTTCCTTGTAATTTCTTCAATCACGATTCATGGACTTTCCGTTCCAATGGTCATTATTATGATTATTTTTTGAAATCTATTTTTAAATTATTTATCAAGAGTGAATTTTTTTTTTTCAAAGATTAAAATAGGAAAACGTGTAAATACGATTACAATATCAAGAACTAAAAGTCATCAAGGTCAGGATGAGTTTATAAGATCAAAAATAATACAAAGAACTTCAAATTCCACTTCAATAACGCGAACACAAGCCAATGAACCCGAAAAGTCAATTGCTGAGAAAGATATTATCCCAGATTTCAGTATTGATATCAATACCAATGATTTAAATGAACGAATTTTAGCAGCACTTCCACTTGACTTTGATCGAGATAGTCATGAATTTTCAATTTATGAGGAGGATGACAATTTTATTGTTGAAGATGAAACAGAAGGAAAAGTTTACGTGATCAAAAATTCGCAAGCAACGCCTGCAACAACTCAAGAAGCTTCTACAACTGATAACGAACCACAAAAATTTTCTAACTTTTTTTCCTTATTTAAAAAATCACACGAACAAAATGATCGATGACAAAAAAAGTGTAATAGATTAAAATTGTACTTTATAATTTTGCATAGATTTCTATTTTCATATATTTCTTTAATTTATAATATTTATATATTAAAAAAATCTTCCCCTTTAATCAATTCTGAATACATCAAAAAAATCTTTTGATCTTGAACAGATTTATTGATAATATTTATTCTCACTAAGTAGGAATCGTATTATTCTTTTAATTTTTCATATTCATGATCCTGTTGACACGAATAAAATGCTTTTGTTTGAGCAATTATGGAAGTGTATTGGCATGAAGTGTAGAAGAATAACGCACAAAACCTTAAAATAAATAAATGTGATTTTTTTTTTTTAATGGAATAAATACGCATCAAGTTATCATACGACAGCAACCTGAATAAATCTGAGCTTGTTGAAAGAAAATTTTTTCGACAGTTCAATAAGTATAAAAATCGTATGATTATTATAATAACTTTTTTTTTTTTTTTACAAATCTTTTCATAATAAACTTAAGTTCGTGAAATGCAAGGTAATTTGGACATATTTACATGTATGTTCAACTTAAGTGTTATTCAACTTAAGTGTTAGTCGGTTAATATAAGTTACAAGAATTAATATTAACAATCGAAGCTATCAAAGAAAGACATTAAGGATACCATAATAGTACAAAATTTTAGAAACCACGAGTGAAAAAGAAACGAATGATATGTCGGGAAAATGAATTGGAATAATACAACAAATTATTTCAAATTCAATTGATTGACATCTGTACAGTATTATAATGAACTGATGGATTTAAATTTATACCTTTCTCTGGTGATGAATGAGCTATTTTTTTTCTTTTAATGCTTCCACTTTTTACGTTCTCTTTCCATTTTACAATATTTAAATTATCTATCCTCTTGTCATAAATAAAGAGACTTAACCGTTGAATCATTATGATATTAAAGAATTTGAAGAATTTTATATTACTTAAAGAAATTAAATGGCGAAAAAAACATTTAACAATCAAAATAACTTCAATTTATAAATTACAAAATATTTCTATTATAATTAACCACTATTCAACGCGTTTCTTCATGAAGAATCCAAAGAAATGAGTTTAATATTTCTATTGTCACTAAATGACGAGTTATTACAGCTTGACTTTCTTGCCGGAATTACATCGACAATTTTGGAAACATGCATTCAATGCGTCTCGTTATGAAGATTCCACATAGATCTATTTTTTCATCTTTCTAAGATCAATGATGATGAGTTATTGCGAGTTAACTTGCTTAAATTAAAACTGTCTCAAGGGTTTGTCTTATTTGAATAAAATCTTTATTATATGCATATATATATATTAAAATACTCAAAAATAATAATTTTCGAATATTAAATTATATTTCGTGGATTATTGTTATTAATTTATCGCTTTATCTATATTGAATGAATTTGGTTTCTATCAATTTTCTATCGTCTATAGTAGAATTTATCACTACAGAAAGGTTAGATCAATTGTGTATTAATAATAAGTTGTATATTTCGGGGACTACAAGCGACTGTTGACGACCTTACATATGCCCATGATAGTCATGAATACTTTGAAATAAATAACAGTGAAAAATTTTAAAGAAACTGAAGATGTTGAAAACCTTTTTTTCAAAAGAAGAGGAAGATTTGACTAATTTCGAAGAAGATTCAGATAATTTAGAAGAATTTAGTAAATATGTAAAAAGATGGGCAGAAATATTGGAAGAGGAGATTTTGAAATATATTATGAGGAAAATGAAGTCTCTATAGCTGTTAGATAATATTCATCCTGCAATTGATCCAATTGCGAAGTGGAATTTAAAATAATTATAATTTTGGATAATTTTGTTTTTTTTGTAAATATCGATTTATTTATTTTTATAAAAATAAAATATGAATATATTACCACTATAATTCAAAATCAAAGTAATTTTAATGAATGACTGAATTAAACTTAAATTGATAATTTAATAAATTAGACGAACGAGTGATGCAGTGAATAACACTTTCTTAAAATAAAATGCCAAATTTGATATAAATCATGTTTTGATACGATATATATGAATTCCTCTTTTAATTCTACTTCAAGATTAAACAAGAGAATTATCTATAGAATATATGCAAATTCCAGATGCTGTGATCTCAAACCTCATTCTGTAAATACAGAGGGAAACTATGGCTGAAGGTTGTTAACAGTCACTTGTGATTTCTGAAATATACAAATTTTAATATAACACAATTGGCCTAACCTTTCTGTAGTATCAAAAGAGAAAATATACATGTATACTTCATTACATTGAAACTGAATCTAAAGACAAATAAATTTATTAAATACTTTTACAATAAGATCAGATTTCTTAAAAAAAAAAAAAATAGTTATTTCATAGACTTACTTCCAATCAATCCAATTATTAGATTTTCAAATTCTTCAATACTATCCTAAAATCCAATCTACAAAAAAATTTGAAATAAAATATTAATAATATTTCTTAATATTTACTTTCATTACATAATTAATTAGCTTTAAATGCTATTCTAAGAAATTTTGGAATCTAACTTACAAAAAAAAAATGTAATATTAGTAATATCTCTTTCTAAATAATAAAAAAAATTCATATTCTATATAATTACATTTAGATACCATATAGAATCTAACTTACAAAAATAAAATAAATTGAATATTAGTATATTCATTAATATTAAAAAATAAATTTCTTAAATAAATACCTAATAGTCTGTAATATTTGGGAAGATTCCTACAAAAAAAAAATTGAAAAAACATATAACAAATTAGCTTAAAAATAGATAAAAATCTTCATAACAAAATAGATAGAAATTACAAAGTTTTAGATAATAAGAAATTATAATACTGTATCTAAAAATATTTTAAAAGAAAAAATAAAAGGTAAAAATTAAATAAAAAAAGAAATTTTAACATTTTTAAATTCAGATTTTCAAAAATCTGAAAATATAACTTTAAAAAACTGTCTTTAAATAAATAAAAATTAATATTAAGATAAATTATATAGATTATACAAGAATCCTGAAAAAATAATATTATTGATCCTTTATTTTATATAGGTAAGGTTTAGCAGAATCATAGTCTAATATATAAATCAAATTATTTTTTAAAAAATAACCATTTTGATAGATTAAATTTCTTCTTTCAATATGTAAAATCTATGTACATAATATATACATTATTTTTTTTGTATGCATATATTAAACAATATAAAATGTGTATAAATTATTATTAAAAATAGATAAATTATATACAAAAAAAAATTTTATATAATAAATTAAAAAGCTTTTCTTCATTTAATAATAAATTTATAAATTTATACATATAATTTTTAACTTAGATTTTATACACTGTCTCTTTTATTAGTTTTCATTAGAGTTTTAGATAAAATATAAATTTTACTATTATAGCACTAATGAATAAACTAATTTCTTTTATAAAATAATTAAAAAATAGATTCTATAATTTGATTTAATATTTATAATTCAATTTAAAATCAAATTTAATATAAATTCATATTTAATTAGATTTAATCAATTCAAATTAAAAGAATAATTCATTTAATCAATTATAAATTAATCTTTGATTTGATTCAATCAAATTTCATTAAGAATTTAAATATTTAATTTGATTCAAATCAATTACTAAAGATATCTCTAAAACTTTGAAGATAGCCTTATAAACAATTTATATAAGAAAAGTATATGTTTTAAAAACATATAATATATATAGAAAAACAGTATAATATATTTATAAATATTTTTGTATACTAGATGCTGAAAATTGACTTTTTCATATCTAAAAAAATACTGAATTTATACGTCTATTCAATATATTTATATACATAATTTTACATAGATTTTATATATTATTTTGGTTAGATTTTTTATATATAAATATTAAATTATATACATTATTTTGATTAAAATTTTTACATAAACATTAAATTGTATATATTATTTTGATTCAATTTTTATGTCTAATCATTAAATTGTATATTTTATGTTTAATCAGTATATTGTATGTTATTTTGATTAGAATTTTTATATGTAAATATTAAATTGTATGTATTATTTAATTAAATTTTTATGTGTAAATATTAAATTGTATGCTATTTAGTTACAATTTTATATATTTAATCATTAAATAAATATAATTTATTAAATTTTTGAAATTAATTAATAAATTTTTATTAAAAAAAAACAAAAATAATAAAATAAAAATAAATAATGTTTATTTTATATAAATTAATTAATTATAATATTAAATAAGAGTTTTACAATTTAAAATTATAATTTAAATATAAAATATAAAATATTTATTCAATTTTAAATCAAAATAATAAATTTTTATATTTCTTAATTTTCCTAAATTAATATTATATTATATTATATATATTTTTTTTATAATAATATTAAAAATAAATATAAAAATTATTTTTTTTTGAAATATTGGTTATGGTAGCTTTGATGATAACAGTTTTGGTGAAAGCAATTTAACTTTAACAGTAGCAGTTTTGATATTAACAATATTATTGGTGGTGATGAAAGTATCATTTATTATAATAGTTATAAAATAAATAAAAAAAATAAATAATGATAAAAATAAATCCATATATTTTGTTTTTTATTATTTTTTTAAAAAAAATACCAAACTTTCATCATATTCTAAATAAAAAGTGTTAGTAATGGTGAAATAAGAGAAGAAAAAAAGAATATTATCTAAAAAATATATAATAAAAAAATATTAAAGATTAAATGATTAATAAATTCATTTTTTTTATTTTTTTATTTTTTGTAGAAGTTGATTATATAATTTATATTATTATTTTTTTTTTGTAGAAGTTGATTATTATCATTATTATTATCATTATTATTATAATTTTCTTTTTCTTTATGATGATTATAATCTTAATAATATTATAAGTGTTTTTTAATACTTTCTTTTATTAACCAACTTCCTATTTCAACTTAAATTG